GGTAATCAGCACGAAGGTTGCCCAAAAAATCTGGTAAGCAAGGCGAGCCGCTCGACCGACAAATTCATGACCAACAGAATTACATCAAGATACATCAGAGATACCAAGTAATTCCAAGAGGTTGACTTTTTGAATCGCTGATTTGAATAGCTTTGAGCTGTTCAATACCAGAAAATGCGGTGGGAGAGACTCCAGCCATTTAGTTGTGCGAATGATGAAGCAGTTCGCTCTCAACGTGCGATGCCACTTGCCCATTCTATGATTGAAGGTGTGAAACGGTCCTCTACGTCCATGCGTTGGTCGAAAAGTCCAATATCTGGATGGCTTTATGCGTAGCTCACACTTGAGAATCTTAAAAGCCAAAATCAAATCAGACTGCACTCGTCTATAGAACAAGCTCTTAAGATTCAGCCTCTTAAGCCTAGATTGGTATGTCGGCAGTGCTTGTGGATAATTATTGTCGGGAAAAGCCCTGTAAAACAAAATTCTCGTAAATGCTTTCTGAACGTTCTCAATTTTTTGGACATCCTTGACCAAAGAGGGGCGCCACACTGAGCTGCAATACTCAACTACAGGGAGAATATAGGTCTTATAGAGCTTTATCCACAAAGCAACGTCCGAACTATGGATGTTACGGAACAAAATATGCATTACCTTTAGAGCTTTACGTGAGACAGCGTCAATATGTAGAGCCCATTTCATATCTCTAGAAAGATTAACACCTAAATCATTAACATGTTGATGTCGCTGTATGGGGGTGCTGGGTACTTGTTATTTACCAATAACTTCGTACTCTCGATGCATTTTGTCCTCCGTTTTCACTGTGTACATATCAAGAAGAAGCTTTACAGACGATGAGATAATACTCTTCGAGTGTTCAAATCCTCATGCAAATGGTTTCTTCGTGGTCCTCCGCTCCAGTACTGATAATTTCAATAAAGCTCGAGCCACTGAATGACAAGAACTTATGCCCGAACGGAGTGTTGCGCTAACCGTGTGAAGAATTGTTACAGGTGCTTAAAGCTGGCAATATCCGTCCTGTTCACGTGTCATCTGTGAAGAGTTTTCAGCAAGTTCAAACTCCCATGTGATGCATGTGCCAAACTACACGACTAAAACAGATGATCAGGACGACATACAGATTCTCGGTAATCCGACCTTTATTCCTGCCAGGAACACCAGATTATGATGCAACACATCAGGGTGGCTACAAATCTCAAAAACGGGATTCTCGCCCCAAACTTCTTTTCTTGTAATAATCCGACTGCAAAAGCTGTAGGCAAATGTAATCCTCTCATCGAACATCGTGTATCGTTCCACCAGAGCCCCATAATTTGCTGAATGCTGCATAGATTAAGATAACTCACCTTAGCAATATCACCCATAGAGATGAAGAACTTAGTCCATCTTCTTAATCGGAGAAACCTAACCTTCCCGAAATTCAGCTTTGAAATTGAACTCATGCTCATTCCCTTTACAGCTTATACTCGTTGAGTAAGATGGAAGAGTGGGGCTGATTAATGAGCTTTACACACTGCTATCACCTGTAGTAAACAACTCGTCGGTGTGATATATTCCACTGATTTGCGGTTCGCGATCAAGGCTTGTCAAATATGACCCTCTACCTTCCCCTTAGGAATTTGCATACCCCTTCCTCTCCTTGACCCCCATCCTAGCCCGCTCTAGACAAACCTAACCTAAACTTCGAAGCTTCTTCTACTGCGAGAAATTCTTAACAAAGACGCAGCAACGTTCTCGGTGGACATCCACACCTCAGACTGAAGGGGAAGAAATGGTAAACGATCGGTCCCGCTGGAACACGCCACGTATCCGACCACTGCTCACAATTCTGACATCGATCATGAAGCCACGTTAAAAGCAAGACATTCAATGACTGACAGCGAGCTGTTCAGATATTTATCAATCGTTTTTATTCACTTGAGGACACTTTTCGTGTTAGTAGTTGACCTAGCAAGACATTCAATGACTGACAGCGAGCTGTTCANATATTTATCAATCGTTTATTCACTTGAGGACACTTTTCGAGTTAGTAGTTAACCTAGCACTGATATCACAACGATTCAGGATGTTCCTTGTGTCTTTCCAGAATATGATCGACAATTCCATCATCTTGTTGAAACCTCCTGGAAAAACCCATTTTAAGTGAACGTAAAACAATCTGTTTTGCCTGGAAATTATTCGTTTTTGCAGACCATGTCATCAAAAAGGCAATAAATGCAGTAATGGCATTGCCATTCATGTTTCAATATACGCCCATATTGGTTATTGAAAATTCACACAGCAATAAGATTTCGAAAAAACTTAAGAAAAGGAACATTGCTGCGCTCAAAGGAGAAAGCTATGCTATTATAATGGGTCAAAAAATCAAATGCAAACAGGTCTTCGTAACTGTCGCAATTCGACTCATTTGTAAAAGAAAATTCCAAATATGGCTGACTATGAACTACGTACCGCTCTGCTCTTGTACACAAATGAAGCAGGTTAATGAGGTTGTACGCGTATGAAGTTGACGTTCATTCAGCAGGAATATTCCACATTCACCATCCAGCGCGAGAACGCGCGAATCCAAGCAATCCTGAAGGCACATTGGCTGAGGTCTCAGTAATCGAGGAAAACAAAACTGTTCGAACAACATTTCAAGGAACTGACCTGAATTTAACCTCCGCTTGACTTCAACTTGTAATATTCTCCTCGAAGCGCCTCGGCGATCTCAAGTTTCGTTAAGGGACGCTTTGATTGCCGGCACCGATCCATGACGATTTTCTTTGCAGCAGCCAGACATCGGCCATCGAGGCCTTCATGAACAGCTTCAGCGACAGCAGAACGCAGAATGCTATCCATTTCCGAAAGGAATGAGAAATTGCCAGCACCCGACTCAATATAAACGACTTTAACACGCCTGGGTCGAGGTCCCCGTAGTCGATGAAAAATCTGTTCAACATCTCCATCCCTCAGCACAAGTACATCGTTCGGCACTTCAATTTCACGTGCCATCCTCAAAATTGTCTCGTCACGTACTCGATTTTCTCCTCTCTGAGAATTACGCCGCAGAGCTTCATCAATATCACAGCCCACTAGAACGCAGCAATAACGCAAACCAAAAGATCGCGCCATGCGTTTGAAGGGACGTTGCATACTTTGTAGATAGAGGTTGTCGTCCACTAAGATAATTTTGTCGAATTCATCGTCACAGTATGTCTCCAAATAGTCTCGAACAGTCTGTTCAAATGATTTTCGATCAGAGTGCGAGTCAAAATCTTCCGACCAACGGCCATTGATTTCATCAAGGGAAAAGACGACAACGTCTGAACGAAGCCCGCGAATTTTCTCACAAAGCGTTGATTTTCCAGATGCTGGTAATCCCATAATCAGAACAAGGGACATGGCGATGGCCTGAAAATTGATTTCAAATCAGTTAAAAACACCGGACAACAATGGAATAATGTGAAATGTAGCACAACCACACATTAATTTAAAAAAAATCACGGATTCCAATCAATTCAAAACACTTTGATGCTGTGGTGACGTGGGGATAAGCCGGGTCAGTTGTCAGCTTAGGAGTCGTTCACCCATAGGCATGAGAGGTGAAAATGAAGCCTGGGTGAGGGGAGGGCACATAATAGCGTTGGTATAAGAAGGAGTTAACACGGTGCAACGTGTAAGTCCGTGTTATACCAGGGAGCCTCAGGAGGGAGGGAGCACTGGGGTAGGCCATTTTTTTCAGCTTTTCGCACAGGATAGTCGTCTCACCCACCCCGTACCTACTTACCTAAGACAAAGTGGAAAACCACATAAACTACATTTCCCTGAAACGCATAAAAGCGCGCAGATGGCCTGTGCGCTCCTTCTTCTTCGGCTCGTGATACAGTGCCAATATAACATGGATTAGAACAAAGTACTAATTTCTTGTTGTACTAATACAGTATGAGTGCTTCACCCTTAAATACATTTCCCCGACAGAAGGAAATGTTACTGTAATCGAGTTGGTACGAAAGGCACATTAACGATAAACAACAAATAGAAATGCCAAAATGCCTGCCAACTTTCAATTTTGATTTACTGTAACTGCAATGAGTGTGCGCTCCTCGCACGCGAAATCACACACATTTGGAAAAACTTTTGCACTTTGTGTGGGACGCCGTCCTGAATTGAAGTTTCGACTGACTCTTCCAGGTATATCCTTCACAGGATGGAAGCTATGGAGGTGGATGTCGTGCTGCCTTCACTATCGTCATCGAAGCTCTTTGGGTGAGTGATAATTGAGCAAAACTGCAATGCCATTGCTACTCTTCTCTTAAGTCTATCATTTCGCTTTATATTTCACTATCGATACTCAAAATCGAAACAGAACTTTTCCGAACGTTTTTCCTGAGAACTTTTTCAGTGGTTGCATTAGCCAGGAAAATGAGCTGCTCAGCCTAACACTGTGTTCATTATGAAATCTACCTTGGGTGCAGTGCAGTTGAAAAAACATTGAATTTTAAGTTACATCCAAGCAGTTGACCAGACAGAATTGGAGTTTTCCGAGCGTGCCTCCTTTTGACCTCAAGGGGAGTGAATACGCCATGGAAATGTGTGGTGTTATGCGGGATTCATTTTGAAGTTGGCCGTTTCACCGAAATGGTGTCGAACAAAGTCATTACAAGAAAACTGAAGTGTTTTAATGAAAGGTCATGGCTGCGCATGTTTTTATCACCTCGAGAGAGGTCTCCGCGAACTCCTAATATCTCCCCGAGTGGTGATCCGATAGAACCAGATTTTTTTTCTAGAAAGAGCCAGTTTCGGTGCTGTGACGGATCGAGCGTGAAGGCGAATTTCGTTGAGTATTACGCTCCTTTCCATGCTTTTAGAATCTATCTTTTGAGTCAATAGCTAATTGATTTTTTTTCATCAGCTTGTCGTAATTGACAGTATCTTTTACAGATTGAGCGAAGCTGCCGGATTTGACGATATCTCGGCGGTCGTGAATACTGATATTTCGAAGGGTTTTGGGCAGTTCGTGTCTTTACTTTGCGAAGAGCTGAAAGCTCTCTATAAAATGGAGGAAGCCGTTCCTCGTCTTGGTGAAAATGGCGACAATCTTGATTTTCTTCTTGAGCTGAGCTCCTTTATCGCTGAATTAGGTAAGTGATTGGGTTGATTTTTTTATATCAGAGTGATCAGCTGTACTGGTTCCTCAAGTTTAAGGTCGGCAACTGAAATCTAAAGTTCATTTTGCGATTCACTTAAAGCGGGAAACTGGTACCTTACTTAATTCGGTTACGTGAATGTTACTTTCGATCCAGTGGGCTGTAGTATATTTCTTCTTGCGATTATGATTCGCATCTAAAAGCATTGGTGGTGTGAAATTTATCGTCGTGGGAAACTCTATTTTCCTAATTGTAAGACCCTGTTAACCAATGATGTTTTATTTTATGCCATACCGTGGCTTCCATTTTGTATTATCGTGCAAAATGGGCACTCCATGTCTTCAAGAGGGTTTTGTGGATATTTTTATGTCGTCGGCTTGACATGTATTCGAAGTAGAAGTTCTGGATAGTGTAATAATATCTCCACACCAATTTTTCACAAATTTCTAGCACCGAGTGGAGTTTTACCTA